AAGCCTGTTGTGTACATCCAACTGCAATGTAAATATCAGCATGAAAAAGGAAGTCCCAATCTGCTGAGTACCTTTGATCCTGCTGATCTCAGCACTATTTAATTCCCTTAAATATGAGAGCAATCAACTACTGTCTACCTTCTTAACTGTTGCCTTTGTTATGACAATTAAATTGTGTAGCTCCATCAATTCAATGTAAGAATAAGAAATGTTATTTATAATATTAATAAAAACAGTGAATATTTACTTGAGCACTTACTCCATGCTAGGACCCATTATTAGCACTTTAACTAAAATATAATTTATTATTTACAGTAACCCTAATGTGGTAGATATCATTGTCCTTTACGAATAAAACACTGTGACTTGGCAAGGTTGAGGAACTTGCACAAGGTTACAGGTTTGCAAATGGGTGAGCTGGAATTCTCTCTGAAATCTGATTTGAGAATCAAATTCTTAGGCCTCACTCCTTATTATCTGCAAGTATGAAAGAGAAAACCAAGATAGATTAAAATATGAGCCATTCATGTTCTCTCAGGGAGGGTCATAACAAACTCTAAATATCTAAATAACACTAACTTTGGTGCTTATTTCACCATCCTGCATATTACCATATTTAAGGAATGAAGAGTCTTCACCATGCATGTTAATGAAGTTAAGACCCTCATTGTAATTTCCAAACTGAAGCATATATTTATATAAAAAAGTCATTATCTGAGTGGCAAATATTTTCACACTGAATTTCACATACTCCCACTCTGTTGAAAGAGCCTTATCTATCACTTACCAGTGCTTCAACACCATCTGTACAAAACTTAGATAGATATAATCCTTGAGGCATGTCTGTGTACCTGAAGATGCAGTGAACATTCTCTTTACTAATGGATTCATGTTTCAGTATACCTGAAAGTAGAGAACAATATCCTGGCATCAAAAATCGCAACTGGAGAAAGCCAGAAAGGGGGCAGGAACCATAGAGCATCTTTTATGTCAGTCCCAAATCACACAAATTAAGGGTAAAAAAGCTCAAGAATTTATAGATATGGCATGCCTTTCCTTTATAGATGTCAGTTTCCAAAATTAAGAAACTGAGACAGAGAGAGGTTAGGGACTTGGCTTAGTAATAGCTTTGAGATTGAACCAAGTTAATATGCAGACGATTAAGCTCCTATTGTTTAAGTTATTTTTTTTTCTCTGCATTGCTGTCATGTTTTCAGGATTATCTTTAAGATCAAAGATAATACTCAGTGATTGTCTTCCTCAAAGGTGAGCTCTAGGAATGTGAAGACACAAACATATTACTCCCTATTCTTGCATATTAACATGGAAGGGAAACTTTAAAAATTCTAACAAATGTTTGAGGAAATGGAAAATAAGCCCATGCAGCAGGGAAGTAAAATTCAACATTTTGAATCACTCTTCAAAAAAAAAAAAAAAAATGAGTGTCCCCAAAGAAAACTTGGTTCTATTAAACAGATGCAAATGAGTGTGCACAAATATCATCAATTATTATGATGATACAGTATATAGAAATGTGTTCAAAAGTGAAACATGTAAATTGCAACTTTTGACATAAGAATAAAAGATGTATGAATAATTCTAAGGTGTTCCCATGATCGAGTGCCACATTATTTCAGAAGGAAGCAAAAATAGCTTACACATGAATTTTTAGAAGAGTTAGAATACTTACTAGCTACTCATTATTCTAATTGAACTAGATTCAGTTCATTTTAAGAGTAGGTCTAACTTTAGAAAAGTAGGGTAATTATAAAATCTGGATCAGATGAAATAGTAGTATAAATCTGAGAGCCATAGGCCTACCAATGCAAAATTGCTTTTCCATTTTCTGGAGCAGCCTTTCAAAGTGTACAAAATGGGAAGAAAAAAAATACACACTGTGCTTCTCCTCAAGACAGTTCTTGTAGGAAAGACATAGTTATTGTATCTGGAGATAGTTCTTTCCTACAAGAACTATCTTGAGGAGAAGCACAGTGTATATTTTTGTGTATAAACCTCTGGAGAGTTTTAACTCAGGCATTCTTCATTCTAAAAGGAATTTATACCCCACAAAATGTGTTTGAAGATGAAATTTCCCAATGCATGGGCCAGCTTGTCAATTATGAACTGGATATGTACATAAATTTATGCTTTTTCCTCGAGAAATAGGGCAAAATAGTAACTAGTTTATGAGATTGGTCCGCAATATCATATTCTGCTGTGTTTTAATTGTAGGTCTAAATATTATTATTTACAAAAGCCTATAGTCTAGGAAATAGGTTTGAAAAGGTGAAGGAAGAATTTTATTCAACTATAAACAAATATTTATTGAGCATCTACTCTGTGCCAGCTACTAATCTTGGTGCTGCGCTGTGGTGAGCAAGGTTCTTGCCAGTATAAAGCATATAAAGTGTTGATGCTGGTGGAGATACTTTTTTTAATGAGAGATGCATGGCTAACCTTAAGAAATTTTACCCAGGGAATTATCCCTACTTCTATTTTTTTTACATCTTCCTGAACCTTTTCATCACCAAGACACCTGATTCAGTAATAAGATTAAGTCTCATTGAAATCCTTGCCCAGACTTAGACTGCCCCTCATTCTTCAACTTTATGGTGGCTGATGTCAGATTCAAGAGACAATATACCAGGGATAAAACCCACTTGTTCATGTCAGAAACACTCAATTCTATTACAATGGTTCTATTATAGGTATGAGTGTTAGCATTGATCAACAGAAGCATCATTTGGGTCTGAAAATACTTATTCTTGATCAATATCTATATCAAAAGAATGCCCACATACTAGAATATAAATCAATAGGAAAAAGGAAAAATAATATAGGTTTGAGTCGCATGAAAGTCACAGTGAAAAGCGATAAAACTTGGAAAATCATCCTTGAAAAGCATTTTCCCTGCCTCTAAAGATCGCCAAAGAAAGGCAATCCTAAATAAATGTTCCTAAGATTTAATAGATCTTTCTCTTTTCAAAAAAAGTATTCTTAAGAATTAATGTAATTCCTTTTTGTTATTGCTCAAGTTCATTCTCTCTTCTTTTGTTGTCAATAGATGCTTGTTAAACCATTGTACATATTTGTTCAAAGAATAAGAGATATCATGTTCTTTATTATAATCCTTCTTCAAGATAAAGGTAAACTGAAACACCAGGCCCAGCATTGGAAAGATGTGACTTATTTAGTTGGCACAAATAATGTATGAAAACCCATTATATGTGTGGGCTTAATTTCTATACGTTTTCTTATCATGGATAAATTTAGAACTAAAATCTATGTCTGTTAGATGATGATAAAGCGATGATTTTTATTATCATGTATTTTATGTAGTTAATATTTATTTAAATCTTACAGTGTGCTTGGCATTGGAATGAATGTCTTTATGTAGATTTTCCCACTTATATGTATTTTCTTATTTAATTATTATATTAATAATAATTATGTGAAGTATTATTTTCCTTTAAGGGAGTGAAACAGGCTTACAGAGATTTCTCAGTTCAGTAAATCTGGAGCCAGAATTTGAACTCAGGAAGTCCAATACCAGAGCATGAACTCTTAATTACTCTGAAAAATAAAGTATCCATTAGCAAATCCTATCAGGAAACTCATCAGTCATCTGCTGGTTCAGTTGGCCATGGGTTTGAAATAACTGCTGTGTTGACTTGATTGACTTCATAGCACTAATTAGATACAGGCTGTCTTATTTTTCCTGTTATATATATTATATAAAACACCCTTGCCACTCCTAAAAATGAAAAACAAAACATGCATGTGTGTGTATACGTATACATAATATATGTGTGTATATATGTACATTTTTACATGTGAATGAATAAATTTAGATTCTAGTAACTTTGGGAGCTTTGAAATCTATAGAGTCCCTTCTTAAAAGAACCTAGATAGTTATGTGGACCTAGATAACTAATTCACCCTTAAGTCAATATGGTCTATGTATTTTAGAAATATGATTATCCACTGTATGCCTTTTGTGGAGAAAAGGTGTCCTTCTCTCTTTATCTTTATGTCAAAATATCTTTGAATTTATTAACGTGATGGGATAGCAAAAGTATGATATCATTAACCCTGTCAGTGAATGTATCCAATGTGTTAATTGGAATCCAAAAAGCCTTAGGACCATCAACAAGCACTCAGAAGTGCCCGGCCTCTTTCACTGAAGTGCCTTGGAAAATGAGAGTGCAAGACAACCCTTGCTCAGCATTTGTGTAAATTAAAAGTGAAATGGATCACCAGTAACACAGGTTGAATAGATTGAGGTGAAGCACCATATTCTACATGTGGCAGTGTCACGTTACTTAACAGTATTCAAAGGTACTGATGCAGATCTGGGACTTTCTGTTATATATATATATATATATATATATATATGCATACACACACACACACACATATATATATATATTTTTTTTTTGCTGAGAAATATCAGGCTGTTCTGTGCTTTAACTTATTGTGACTATCTTGCAAAGTTAATATCCACAGCAGATATATAGATAATAGAGGAGATCCAATATTTTAGGGGACTGGTATACAATGGTATCCAATTTCAAATGCTTTAATGATGGGAAAACTGAATAACGTCAATGCTTATATTTAATTTTAAAAACACCATAGAGAACTATGAAAAAAATAGCTTTTATAAGTTCAAGTCTTAGCATGTTAATGTACACATGAAATTAAAGATATATGCAGATTTTTTAATTATTTGAGTTAAATACAAGCAGTTTGTGTGTATATGCACATGCATGTGTGCATCTGCACACACATTATTTGAATTAAATTGTTATGGTTATTGTTCTATGAATTGACACTTGAATTTTATTTGCCTGAAAAATGTTGCCTTTATACAACAAAATTAACTAAATGCTGTGTGCCTTTTTATGCTGTCCTTGCAAGTTACATGAGCTGATGACAAGTTTCAGATATTAAAATATGGACGCTGGTTTCTCACTGCTGTCCTCTGCCTCTGCCCACAGGTTGTGTATAAAAATAATGATGTGAGGCTGGAATTATCTCGACTTGCCAAGCAAGGAGATCCTAAGATGAAGATCCATGGAGTGGTGGCATTTAAATGTGAAAATGTTGCAACTTTAGACCCAATCACCTTTGAAACCCCAGAGTCTTTCATCTCTTTGCCTAAATGGAATGCAAAGAAAACAGGCTCCATATCATTTGATTTCCGTACAACAGAACCAAATGGCCTCATCTTATTTAGCCATGGCAAGCCAAGACATCAAAAAGATGCCAAGCACCCACAGATGATAAAGGTGGACTTCTTTGCTATTGAGATGCTAGATGGCCACCTCTACCTCCTCCTGGACATGGGGTCAGGTACTATAAAAATAAAAGCCCTGTTGAAGAAAGTGAATGATGGAGAATGGTATCATGTGGATTTCCAAAGAGATGGACGGTCAGGTAATGTTATCATTTTTCTATGCTGTTTATCTGGCAGAGCACCCCACCTACCCGTGCCATTCCTAAAAGTGAAAACCAAGACATATTAAAGATTTCCTGCATTTGTTTCTTTACAGTAAAAGAAATTGCCTGATATTGCTTCTGTTTCACGCCATATAAAAATCAGAAAGAGCTAATTCATCATCATAGTGGGGCATCAAAGCCCAAATGCTCAAATGTCTCCTAGAATAGCTTCTTAAATGAACTTTTATTGGGTAATCAAATGCCAAATCTTGCAGAAAATTTTGTCTTGAATTTAGCAAGTGAAAAAATTCAAAGTTTTTGTATTCCCAGTTTTCTCTTATGTTACTGGATGTTTGCAGGTACTCAAAGTGGCAAATATAACATATGAAAAAAAAATTAGAATGATCCAGACACAAAATCCTTACTTTGGTACAGAACACTTTAGGATGAGTCTATGGTATTAAAAACACTTTAATCAATAGAGTAGCATTTCAAGGACAGTGGCAAAGCTCTGCTGCCCTTCCAAACTGCTTCCCTTTCTGATGAAAGGTATTTGGAATTCCACCAGCAAACATTCTGCTTCCTGTCGCTGCACTTTATTTCTCTCAGGGAGGAGGGGTAAAGGTGGCAGGTAAAGTTTCCCCGAATACATCACACTTACAGCAAAATTTGGGAGTATTTTAGGGGACTTAGTATGTTGAATAATATGAGCTTTGAGGGGAAAGAATCATCCAGGCAACAGAAATGACATTTGTGGGAATCCTGGGAAAGAGAGGGAAGGAGGGAGGAAGAGAGAGAGAAGAGAGGGTGAAAGAGGCAGACAGAGAGGGAGAGATGAGAGGGAGAGAGAAATCTGTTTTAAGTATACAACAACATTTCTTTAATTCTCTTCACCCCAGGCTCCCATGCTCTGATTGTCCTACTCATACATAAATCAAATGATCTTATAATAGAAGATAACTAAATTTAGACCTATCTACTCTCCTTCTTTACTTCACCCACCCCCAGCCAACTCTAAAAGAAGCTGAATGTTTCTTTTATCTGTATATAATCTGTGATAACCATCGTCTTTCGGAAGGGCCCTGTTGAAAACCTGGGGCTGAACTCTCTTGCTCATACCCTCCTTGCATGGGCTCCCTCGGTGCTTGTTTACTCCCAGTTTCTCTGCAACTGAACTATTTTCTACTTTCCTGTTATCCCTGCTTTTTTGTTCTGCTGTTTATAGATCAAGAAGATTGTGCTTGTCTGTTTAGAAATATGATTTTTAGCTAACAAAATAAAGAAATAGAATATATGGAAATTGAGAAGGAGTTGGGAGTGAGTGTGGAGAGAAGGAAGGTCAGAACCCATTGCTCTGATTCCCAGATATATCGGAGACTGTGTTTCTAATTCATTCCTCTCTGGAAACTTTGTCTCCCTAAATATTCTCACTTTCCTAAAGAAGTCTACAAAGAATTAAATTACCATTTATTCTTCTTCTTCTTCCTCCTCCTCCTCCTCCTCTGCCTCCTCCTCCTCTCTTTCTCCTTCTCCTCCTTCTCCTCCTTCCCCTCCTCCAACTCCCCCCCCCCCTTTCTCCTTCTTTCTGATTTAAGCTGACAAGAGTTCATTGATGGGAATGCAAAAATATAACAATAATGATAAGTGTTCCCCTCTGACTCCCTCCAGCCTATCTCTGCCAGAGATAGCAGTTAATCCGTTACATATGAACTTTCAAGCAGAAGAATTTTAATGTGGTGGGGGCATGGGCTAATCTAGTGCTTTGAAATACTAGCTTGTGGATGCTATAATTTGACTTAAGATAGATCTAGAATAAAATTTTGAAAATGACTTTCAAGAAGAGATATTTTAAGTCAAATTTTATAATACCTTAAAACAAAACATTCCAAGAGTAGTGGTTCACACCTGTAATCTCCACACTTAGGATCGCTTGAACCCAGGAGTTCCAGGCCGCAGTGAGCCATGATCATACCGTTGCACTCCAGCCTGGGCAACAGAGCAAGACCTTGTTTAAAAACAGCAAAACAAGACAAAACAACCCATATCAGATTAAAAGGGTATCTTCTGAAAGTTCAGAGGAGAAAAAAAAACACCAAACATCAAATCAGTTGCTTTTCATTCACTTAGAAATGAGGTATTTTCTAACTATATTGATGTAATACATGATCAATTCAAAGTACTAGTCAATACAAAATAATGTAAAAGAAAAAAGAAAGTATTCATTATTCATTTGAAAACAATGATGTATATTTTTGGATATTTCTTTCCAGTCTTTCTTCTATGTAAATTGTATGTGTGTCTATATATGTGTGCATATGTCTCTCTCTACATGTATATGTGCATATATATGTGCATATATATATGCATATATGCATATACGCCACACATACGCATATACACATACTCACAGAAAACAAAATTATTTTGAATATTTTATGAGGTTTCTTATTATAAGGAGAAAGTATTGATGCAATCTAATTAATTCTCAGATAAATACTGTAATCTTCAAGCAGAATAAAATCTACTTTTTCTATCTAAGCTCTTTAATTCATCCAAATTACCAAGAATTTATTAATTACTCTATTTGTACCCTCATTGGAGAAGGTCAAAAGTAGATGATATCTACTTTAATTTACAAAGCTCAATTCTGTATGGGAAGAACAGAAACACATTCTAAGGAAGTGTTATTTGCATCTAAGAAAGAAAATAAACAAAGCATGAGATTTTTCTTGGAATCCAATGGAAAGATCAAATTACTATGCTTGGTGCTGTTTTGATGGTAAAGTACTTTTATGTGATTAAAATTTCAGATTAGTGAATTGGAACAAACAATATAAAAACCAAAGCTCATTCACTAAGCCAAGTTCTGTCCTTTATTAAATTGGAAAAAAAAAAAGAGAGAGAGAGCTCATATTGTGTTAGCCTAGCTCAAGGGAGTTTAATGTAATTTTAATAGCTGCAGCTGTTAATATTTTATATATATAATATTTTAATTAAGTTCCATATTTGCACACTGCATTGGTTTGGTATGGAGTAGCCTTTTAAAAATTGAATGAATGACTATACTTGCTTTTATTTTACTTAAAGGATATTTCTGATTTGGCTGGTGAAACACTAAGATTCATAGGTCACTTAAAACTAAGAAACATGGAAATTCATGAAATAATTGATTTTACCCATTTTTATGTCAGTTATATTCAGGGGCTCTAGGAAAATTATTTTTCATATAATGTGGAGAAAGGGTACTGCTATGACAAGAGGGTAACATAGGCTCCTTTCTGACATACAGATAATGAGGCCATATCTGTTGATTTGCCTGGAATATTCCTTAGCTCAATATTTTAAAAGCCTTATTATCTCTGTTATTAAAGTAAAGGGAACCCAGGCCTAAGAGCAGTTCTTTCTGCTGTTGACCATTGGTTGGCCATACTAAAGTAAACAGAAATATAATGAGACCATTATGGTCATTAATTTGCAGCCAATATAAGTAGTGGTTATTTTGGGATAGAACTAGGGTTAAAATCATATTTGGTGGACACAAATGATTTAATTTTAATATTATCAGTTTATAAGGTTCATAATTTCCATCCCAGATAGAGAAAATTGTATATATATATATTTTTTTTATCCACAGTTTCTAGTACATTCCTGGGTATAGCAGTTGTTCAGTATATATTTGGTATAAGAAAAACTAAAGAATAAAAACATGTAAGTAGTACAGTGCCAAACAACCCCTAATGTTCTAAAAAAAATAGCAGCATCATTTTTTTACATTTGGAGAATAATGGCACTCTTTTAATTGTAAATGCAAGTTTTTTAAGTTAAAGAATTTGTTTAAATTACATTACTTTCTGAAAACAGTTTATATGATATAGGATAAAAGGTGGTATTCTCTTACGAATACACCACCATCCTCCAAGCCCAGATGTTTGAAATAACCCACTGAGAAAGTTAAATAATTATTAGAGAATGTGTAAACAAAAATGACAAGTTTTTATGAGAACGGGACTTCTATCCCTTCTTAGGTCATGAGGTCCCTATATCATTTTGCAGACATATAGGTAGCAGGAAAATCCATCAAGAAAGAAGGTGGTAACTCCTTTCTGAGGACTGGGATATGCAGCCACAGTAAGTGTGCTCTTGACAAGAACATAGGATGTCCATCTTTCTGGTGGCCTTCCCTTTGGTTCTTTGGTCTTTAGTTCACTGCAAAGAGTATATGAACCCCTTATTCAATGAGAAATAATGCCTTTATGTGTAATTTTCTAGAACTTTCTCATTTTTGGCAAAACTGATTTTAACAGGTTATTTCTAACATATGTTCCTTCTTCCAACCTGAGACATGGGGAAAAATCATTCTAATTTCCACAGTTTGATTAATTCTGCTTGGCTATAGCTGTTCTTTATGTGCAGTGCAGCTTTCTTCCACTGCCTGCTCACTAGAGGATCAGCGACGTGGAAAGTCAAGTGGGCTGAGCCATAAATGGCACTTCCAGATCCTGCACTAAGCTAGCAAAGGAGGAACCATACCAAGTGCAGGCATGACTTAGTGAATCAGAATGGATGACTTAAATGCTGCAAAATGTAGATATCCTCTGTGGATAATTTAGCTACTAACAGGGCAAAATGCCTAAGTCACTGGAGTTAATAAATATGATTGAAGAGGCCCATTACTTTGTAATTTTTGCAGGACTTACAGTTGAACTTTTTGTTTGTTTGTTTTTGTTGTTTTTAAACCAATCTCCCTCTTTCCAGACTTCCCCTTTGCCTATTTTCTGGTCCCACCCTCAACACAAAACAGCTGCCCAGGTATTTAGCTAAAGCGTGAAAGGACCTACAATTAGGATGAGGTTAATGATTGTTTTCTTGGGCACAAATTTGTTTAAATTTGTGTTAAGCTCTTTGGCTCAGTCAAGGGTACCCTCAAGTATTTTTATAGCAAACTACCAGTCTTATTTTATTTTTATTTTTTTTTGTAAACCATCATTACACATTGA